GCTCAGTGGCCGTGGTCGGTGCGTCAAAGCGGACGAGTCGATTGGCAGCACGAGCGTCTCGAGCGCGATTTTGGAGTGTGCGCTGTTGGATGTCACGGGGAGCCAGGGTGACACGCAGATGAGGGGGGTAAGGGACTGTGAGAGGAAGGCGAGTAGAAATGAGTCTAACTAATTTCTAAAGTTGAATGAAGGGAAATTCAGAGTCAGGTTGATGGAGAAAGAGGAAAATTCCCAATTCCAGCAAGAAAATGAGAGGAGATTTTCACAGAACAGCGTGGGGCATAAAGGAGCATGCATAAAATAATCATAGAGTCAAAATAAAATTCCGAAATTATTTGGATGTAAATTTGGAATTTAAAGGAAATTGAAGCAAAACTCAAGGAATTTCAAAAATATTTGTAAAAATTTTTGAAAGTTCGAGGAGATGATGAAAGATATAGAGATAAGCTGATAGGAAAAAGTGGAAAATTCCTCAACGTATTTTCGAAATTAAAAGAATTTCAAAGGCGATTTGAAGTAAAAGTAGCAAACTAATTCCTAAATTAAGAATTTACAATGAAATTTCATAAAGAATTAGTGATAGCCGCGTAAAGTAAGTTGAGAGAAATTCCAGGATTGTCTAATAGATCAAATGAATAAAATTTCTTGTCTTGTTACAAGATTAAAATGAATTTCAAAGAAATTCCAAAATAATTCAAAAAAGATTTCAAAAACAACGGAGAAATTTCAGAATTTTACGGGAGATAGAAAATAGAAGGAAATTGGACATTGGGAGAATTCTTTGTAGTTAATTTTGAAATTTATTTCATGAACTTCTGAAATGAAATTGAATTTTGAAATTAAATAACGAAAAGAATCAAGAAAGGAAAGAAATTTGCGTAGCTTTTGAACAAAAACGCCGGAATGAATTCCGATCACGGCGTTGGGAGAAAGGGAACTGACAATTAATCCTACCAAATTAGATTAAATTCTGAACGACAGTTTGGATGGCATTGTCAGGCAAACCCTAAAAGAGAAAATACGTGTCATGCACGTTAGGAATTTTAGATGATGCGACCAATTAGGCGTGGGATTAGAGGAGAGAAAGGGAGATAGGGAGGAGGTAAAAGGAGAGGAAAAAGATGAGATCTTTGAGAGAGATCGGCAGGAGGAAGGAGGGGAATTAGTAAAGAGGGAAATAGATTGACAATACCGCACTCCCGGTCGGCCGGGAGCAATCAAGGTCCTTCCTCCTAGTCGAGGAAGGTCTTCAATCAACCCCTAAAGGGTCTTCTCGATCGTTTCCCCGATGGAACAACGGGGTCGCCGGATTGAATGCACGCAATGAAGGTGAGAAGCCGTGACAATGATGATGTTGACAATGGCCGCGATGATGATGATGATGATGATGATGATGATGATGCTCACTTGATGATGGCTGTGGCGTGATATCAACATTGCGTCCTTTGTCATGGCCAATTAGGTAGGGGCAGTGGAATCTCGTTAATCCATTGGAATGCATGGATCGGCGGCATCAAGGATCAAAAGCCACATGACGATCTCGTGGCGAAGTGCTCGACTTGCTGGCAGGACTTGCTGGCGGGTGAGCAATCCAACACTTCGTGAATTCTGCTCCACAATGATAGGAGGAGCGACGTCGAACTATGAACGCTTGGTTGCCACAAGCCAGTTGTCCTGTGGTAACTTTTCTGACACCTCTAGCTTCAAGTCCAAAAGCGTTAAAGGATCAATAGGCCGCGCTCGCACAATTTGTATTCGTATTGGCTCTTATACACATCTAGATGTGTATAAGAGACAGGACTGAGGGTGTATCAGTGGTAAGGGAAGCGAGAAAGTGAAGTGGGCTAGCAGGGGTAGAGGAGGTTAAGGAAGCTGAGGAATCTGGAGGGTCG